AGAAAAAACATAGTTACAAAAAACAATTAGTTGTCCATGAGTATCACATTACTTCAAAATTTTTTCTACTGTGTTGCTTCAGGTGACACAGCTAGGGAAGTGATCATTCCCTTGTACTCGGCACTGGTGAGGCTGCACCTCGAATACTGTGTTCAGTTTTACCCCTGTCACTACAAGAGAGACATTGAAGTACTGGAGTGTGTCCAAAGAAAAGCAACAAAGCTGGTGAAGGTTTGAGAGCACAGGTTTAGAGCTGGGGGAACTGGGTTTGTTCAGGCTGAAGAAAGGAGTCTTGGGGGGAGACCTTTCACACTCTACAGCTTCCTGAAATGTTGTAGAGAACTGAGTGTCGGTCTCTTCTCCCAAGTAAGAAGTAATAGGTCAAGTGGAAACAGCTTCAAATTCTGCCAAAGAAGGTTTAAATTTTTCCAAGGAAGGAAAAAATTCTTCATAGAAAGGGTTGTCAAACATTGGAACAGACTGCCCAGGGAAGTTACTGAGTCACCATCCCTAGAGGTATTTAAGACATGTAGACATGGCACTTAGGGACATGGTTTAGTGGCTGACTTGGGAGTGCTATGTTAATGGTTGGACTTGGTGATCTTAAAGGTCTTTTTCAACCTAAACAATTTAATGATTCATGATGAAGGTGGTCAAGAAGGAAGCAGTTGTCACTTCTGTAAGGACATGTGATAGTAGTGAATTCCACTTGTGTTTTGCCAAATGCAGAAAGTACACCTACTGACAGTAGAGGCTCTTCTTCTGCTCATACTTTTCTTGAGGGTATAAAAACAGCTCCTCCACATCTATCATAAAGGCGTCGGTCAGTTCGTTGTCAGATTTCAAAACTAAAATAAAAAAAGGCAGTATGCTAGCCTACAGCCTCTAGTTAGGCATGAAAACAAATGGAGTGATCTTTTCATCCTAGTGTTTTCAGAAGAACTTCTCTGAGTTCTCATGTCATGTCTAAATAATTTGAGAGCAAAATATAGACACAAAATTTTGTCTTATGCACTTCATTTGTGAAATGTGTGCTCTATGTATTTGAGTATAGAATTTGTGTGAACTGTGTGCTTTTTAACACATGCCAATAGTACAAAAGGAAACAATGCCACCTAAAGAGAGTGCAGTTTGGAGTAAGGAGACCTGTGGCCATGTTCTTTGAAGCTCTGAGCTGTGTCTGGCTGCTGATTCATTAGTTTGTAAGCAAAGCACCAAAACCTACATTTTCAAGTATTTAATTCAGAATGCATTAACGTCTAGTTGCCTGAACAGATAGGCTGGTCAGCCTTGTCCTGAAGGTGGGTATCAGGAAGGTTTGGGAAGGAGGAAAAATGGATACCTCCTGCCTTCAGATTATATATGAGGTGCAATTGAGTACTGTAGGGCTTTCTTATTGGCCTTTCTCTTGAGCAACTGTGCAAAAAAGCCACAGGAGCCCTGATCACAAGGACACAAGGGTCCTCTGACCAGCCCTCACCCCTTTGGCCAAACCATGATGTACCTGCTCTGCTGGAGCTGCTTGTCCTCTTGAAGCAGGACAGAACAAACAATATACCTGTCACAAGGCCTTCATCAGGTTATTTCAAGAGAGGATTTTATGCTTCCTCACATGGATCAAGGGTAGCATTAAGCAAGTACTCAACAAGTGTACTGATAATTCAGCAGTAACCAAGTGGGATCGAAAGGATAATTAGGACCCAAAATGTCATATTAGCAGAAACTCATGACTAATCTAGGAGATTCATGGGGCAAGTCTTGGCAAATATCAGCTGAATATATTTTTATGTCATTAATATTCTATCAGGTGATCCTAACCTTTTACAGGAGCCTGATTAAAGAAATAAGGAAATATTCTAGTAGGCTAAGGAAGGTGTCACATAGTGGAGTGTAATTGGTGTGGGATTTTTCTTTGCTAAAGACAAAGCTCTGCCTTTGCTGGTGGCTCTGGACTGGCTTGGTATGTGCTTCACAAGGGGGGATGCTGCTCAAGCCCTCTGACAGTACATTCTTGAACATTACACTCCATTTCTGCAATGCTAAAAATAGTTGCCCTCATTTTAAAATACCGGCCTATTAGATTATTCCAAGGGTCTGGCATACTCAGGGTAATGGAAGGCACATATGCATAAATTATCAAAACAGTAAGTAGTGTTTGACCATGCTGATTTTATTTCTGTTGAGATGGGTTTCCTTCCTAGTAACCCCGGAGTACCAAGACTATTCTGTAAATGAAGCTCCTGGCTGTGCTCTAGTAAATTTAAAAATAAAGAGGAAAATGTTTGGTTTTCATCTCGGGGTTGCAGAAGTATCTGACTGTTTTGTGGTGGTTTGGAGGTTTTTGTTTGTTTGTTTGTTTGGGGGTTTTTTTTTATTTGTTTTGTTTTAATTTTGCAAAATCATATCTGCAAAATGCATAAAGTATTTTACAGAAATTATTTCTCTTTCCCAGCCTTGAAGAGAATACTGTGAAGTTCTGGCATGTTAGCCAATATAAATCATATTAATACCTAAAATGTTCCAAATACTAAAACACGTTCCCAGTTATTGATAACAGGTTTCTCTCTTTTTTTCTTTTTTTTTTTTTTGTGATTAGATAATGTGCTGCCTAATTAATTTTTGGCACCCTACTGTTTGGCAGTAGAGGTGTCCAGGGCAACTAATAAAGGTCACATATTTGTATGCTAAGATAGCCTCTTTTTTTTTAATCTGGAAGTCTCTTATTTAGGGGGCTAAAGATACCTAAATGTGGAAATTGGGGTGTTAAAAATGAATGTAAATGCATTCAAAGAAAGTTTCTATGTACATAGATACAGTGTCTTACTCTAACTTAAAAACCCTTAGGTATAAACAGAATCTCTAATTTTATAGGGTGTTGCATTGTAATTACAAACTGCATAATCAATAAACGATAAATGTATTAAAAACTGTGATTATAAATACACTGCTAATTTCCAGAATAGTTAAAGCAACCACAATATCAATCATTTTAGATTTCATAAGAATCGATATTGATGTAGGAGGTTATTTTTGCATTGTCTTAAAGGGATAAGCATTTGTATATCGCTGATTAAACAGTGCAAGGCAAAACATCTATGGGTTGTCTCCACAAAAAAAATCCAACAACAAACCACAACAGTGAATGTGGGGGTTTTTTTCTGGTTTACAGTGCTCCAATATAGCAGCAAAGGTGAAATATTATTGGGTAAATATTAATGATGAAAAAATTTCCTGAATTCACGCTGTAAATCTGGAGAAAATGAAGGGCTAAGAATTACTTGTAATGATTAATTAGATTTTTACCCCAGCATGCTACCATCTATTTTTACAGTGGGGAACTGGAATGAAGATGTTGGAAATTCTATCATGAGTGGAGTTAGAAAAATTCCATTTTAACAAGCTATTTTAAGCTGTATTTTAATTGCTGTAGATCATCAGTGCTTTGTATTTGTTTGCTTAATTACTTGTATCATTTTGATGAGTAATTGTCCTTTTATTGTCTCTTTCTCTTTTTAAGAGAGATTGGAGTTTTTCCTTTGTCTCTGTTCTTTTTTGTGTGTGTCTGGGAGGCATTCGTCTTCTGCTTGGCTTGGAATCAAACAAGTGAACTTTCAAAACTTTCTTTTTGTGGCTGAATCCTGGCTTGGCTAGATAACTGAATTGAATGGTGTATGAGTTACGAGGGCAAACTTCTGTCCAGGAATTAACACCCATGAATTGAATGGAGAAAGCATTTGATTTTAGATTCCTTTAATAAGCTCCCACTTGAAGTAATATGAACAAGGGTGAATTCTATTAGAATTTAGGTCAGTAAGTTTAGATTTATTGAGACCAAAATTAATGTACTTCAGTGTGGCATATTTCATGTAGATAGAGGGTGGTTCTTATTAGCTTTCAGTGTCACAGCCTAGTTCTCACTAAGTCTGTAACTGTTTAACATGCTTTGTCAAGAAGGAATGGAAAAGGAAACTGCTGCAATATTTTATGTTTTAATTTAAACAAGATAATAGTAGGTTTTTAACTATATCTTTTTTTAGAAGTCCCTGTAGTAAATGCAGAATTGCACTGTCTATAGCTTTCAATTCAGACCTATTGATTTGTATTTTTCTCTTTTTCTCAACCTGTTCTTATTCAGATATTGAAGGTGAAGTTTACCATGTTACTCAGCTTGGATAGTTACCTTTAAAAACTTTTTTTTATTAACTAGATTCTTGTTTTTACTTATGCTTAGTTGTTGAGCAAAACTTTTAAGTATCTGGTTTTTGAATGGAATTTACAAACCCAAATCAGATTAATTTTCATGGGCAATGCAAGGAGAAAGTCATATGTGGGTCAGGGAATGACTAACAGTCAACCGCATGGCTGACTTATTTTGCTCTTGGGGTAGAGGAGGCGGTAATTTAAGAACATGCACAGAACATGCACCTAGGAAGTAGGAGAAACAAATTTTTGTCTGCCTCATTGCATAGGATCAAGATTTGCATTTCCTCCTGCCCAATAGGCTGGGGAAAGACACGAAACCCCGCTTTGAGCAGAGCCTAGAAACCAGCAGTCAGCTTAATATGTACAACTCCCTGTGGGACCTAGCAATTTAAGCATGGATCCCTGTGGTCTCAAGGACTTAGGGAGAGATGGGAAGATGTGTCACCCTTGTTGGGATTTTAGGTACTTGAGTGGTATGCAAGAGTCCTCTGAAGTATTTTTTTTCTGAATCAGGGCCTGAAATAAAACTTAAGAAAGATTCTCATGGGATCCAAACTGAAGCAATCTACAGCTGCTGCATAATTAAATAACCTGTAATTGTTAATTACATAATATTTTGAAAGTGAAATGTATTTTAACCAAATACAAGTCAACAGACATAAACAAACCTAGAGATAATTCAACTCTTCTGCAGAAAAGGAACGAGAAGCAATGCATGTCCAGATGTATTTTTCTCTTAATTTAGCTCACTCATGAGTTAGGTCTGTGATATGATGGCTATGTACATTTTGTTTCAGGGGGAAGCTGGCTTAGTAGGTGCTCCTGGCATACCTGGTCTTACTGGTTCCAAGGTAAAATAAATAAATAAACCACCACCTATAACAAAAAAAACAGTCTAATTTTCTTCATTTTCACTCTCAACATCCTTTTTGCCAGCTGTCCAGTATCTACATAAATTGCACTTGAATTACATATCCAATTTGTGAGTTGTATAATGTGACAGAGGAACTTTACTATCCGTTTTTAAAAACCTGCCTATCAGCATCATTTTGCTTTAAGAACAGTTGCCTAAGCCTCAGAACTGTGCAGGTCTTTCCAGCCACAAGGTAGCAGATTCAAAAATTTGAAATTTGAGAGTCTCATAATCTCAGCAAAATGAGGTGAGGGATGGCGCTGCTGCTTCCGCTATTGCATTTGAATCTTTTTCTCCTCTCCAGAGGTGGAATACTGTAGGAAGGACAGAACTTGCAAAAAGTGATATCTGTATTATAAACCTTGCTGGTAATATTTGTTCCAGTTGCCTTAGTGTTTTCATGGCCAGATTTTGTTTTCTGTTGGTTGCAGCTGTGTTTAATCGTAAGTATTTGGAATGAAGCCTCAATGTCACATATGTCTGCCCAGCTAATTCCTTTTAGAAAATTGGAGGGGAAATAGTTCTGCTGCTTCCACAGTTTAAGAGACTACACATAAAACTCCACATTATTTTGTTTGTACTAAAATTTCAAGAAAGTGTTCTGCAGCATGACCTTGATGCAAGGGCCTGATTTGTGTATATTTAGGGCAGATACTTCCTGTAATACAGCACAGAGGGAGGGAAGGAACTTATTTTCTGCATATGAGGTATTGAGTTCTGCAACATGCTTATCACAGTCTATCAATTTATAAGTTTGAAGCCAGGATTTCATTGACTTTTACTGCAGGCATATTTAAAACATTGAAAATCAGATCAACAATCCTGCAGTATCAGGACAAGTAATCAGTGACAGTCCATGAAAAAGCTTGTGTGAAATGTGTTATTTTGCAACATCCACGTTTTTATTTCTGCAACATTCAGATTCTTTGAAGTAACTTGCAGTGGTTAATATGGTTAATATTGTCAAGTGGAAATTACCTAAACTGTTTCTCTATGCTTTCTGTTGACTGTATTTCTTATTCCCTCTAATTTGTAATAATTATGTTAAATTGAAGTCTGTGCAGAAAAGCTGGACATTTTCTGAAAAAACAGAAGTTACTTTATCGCCCCATACTTAGGTACAGGCAGAGAACATACTGGCTGAGCAGCAGCATTTCTGAAAATGACCTGGAGGTGGACATGAGGCTGAATTATGAGCTAACAGTGGTTCACTTTCTTTCCTACTAGGGAGAAAGTGAACCACATATTGGACAATGATAATAAAAACTGAAGCTGACAGATCAGGGGAAGATATTTTTCCCCCTTTGCTTGGTCTTGCTGCATCTGGAATGCTGTGTCATGTTTGGCAAGGGGTGAGGGGCTTTCACCCTCAGTACTTTAAGAGGTGTGGAGAAACTTGAGAGGGTCCACAGGGAGCTAGGTTATGTTCAGGGGCTTAGAAAACAAGACCTTTGAGGAGAGTTTCAAAGTACTTTGTGGACTCTGGCAAAGAGGAGGCCAAGGAGTGGTCACGACTGTCCTGCAGACATAAGAAACCCAACTGGCTGGTCTTCAAGGACAGATTCCTAAAATACCAAGAACAGTCCACAATGATGTAAAGGGAGTCGAGCAACCATGGCAGAACGTCAGCATGGATGAACAAGGAGTTCCTGACTCAGATCACACCCAAAGTGGAAGTAAACGGTGGGAGCAGGCATGAGCTACTCAGTAAGAATACAGAAACGTTGCCAGAGCACGTGGCAAACGAGTTAGGAAGCCAAAAATTCATCTGGAATTGCAACTAGTAAGGGTTTTGAAGTTCAGCATAAAGGGCTTCTGTTAACTGCATCTGTAGATAAAAAACGAGGCTGAAGAAAATGTTGACCCACCCCTTAATGGGGTGGGGGATGTGGAAAAGACTGAGTGTACCTGATGCTTTTTTTGCTTTGGTTTTCACTAACAAAGTTTGCCTTCAGGCCTCCCAGGTTACTTAAATCTCCTATCAGAGTGTATGAGAATGAACCATTGACCACTGAAGGGGAGGACAGTGTTAAGGAGCACTTAAGCTACTTGGATGTTTGCAAGATACCAAACAGCATGCGTCTAGGGGTGCAGAGGGAGCTGGCTGATGGATTGCAAGGCTGCCATCTGTCATTATCAAAAGATCATGATGACTAGGGGAGGTTTTGGATGACTGGAAACAGACAAATATCACATTCATCTTCAAGAAGGATCCATGGAACTGCAGGCCAGTCGATCTCACCTCTGTTTTTATCACCAAGAATAAATCATGCCTGACCAATGTGATTGCCTGCTCTGGTGACTGTGTGCATTAAGGGACATCAGTGGACGTTGTATACCTTGACTTTAGCCAGGCTTTTGGCACAGTCTCCAGTCATATCACTGTAGTCAAATCTGTGAAATACAGACTGGATAAATGGACAGTAAGGTGGTGGATGATCAGTTGGATTGTTGAGTTCTAGGTGGAATAACTGCTGTATAGTTCAGCTGCTATGTAGTAAATAGTGTGATCCCTCCTGGAGCAAGACTGGGGCCAGTATTATTTAGTGTCTTATTAATTACCTAGATGGTGGATTCTCAGCATGTTCATGGATGTTAGCAAATATAGGAAAGTAGTCAGTGCACTGGAAGGTTGGACAATTATGATATTCAGTGGGACCTCTACATGCTGGAGAAATGAGCTAATGGCAGAATTCATGAAGTTAAGCAGAGGCAAACATGAGGTCCTGCCTTTCTGAAGGAAATAGCCTCCTGCAACAGTGCAGTCTAGGTTCTAAATTTCTAGAAAGCAGCTCTACAGAAAAGGAGTTGGAGTTGTGCTGGTTATCCTTGTGGTGGAGGAGGCCAACAACATCTTGGGCTGCCTTACCATGAACATGGCCAGTACATCAGGAAGAGCAGATATTTTAGTTATAATATAACCAGGTTGCAGACTATTTGACTAAGACATTAACATAGTGAGGTTGTGCATTAGGATCTTCTTCTGAGATAAATTATTGAGTTGGAGATGGAAGAACATTATAACAGATCTTTTTATTGAAAAATTATCAAATAAATAGTTTAATCTGATGAGCTTGAGTTAATATTTCAAAATTCACTCCTGTGTTTTATTTGTTGTGTATTGTTTGTTTAGGGCTTTGTGTTTGTCTGTTTCTTTGTTGGTGTGGTTTTTTTTAGTAGTTAGATAAGGGTTTTAAAGTGAAAGGAATGTGCTTTCTGTAAATTATATCTGTATCTTTTTCTGAATTGTTCTGGGTTTTATAGACCTTCACAGCTGAGTAGTCATATTTCAAAATTAAAATGAAGTTATTAATAGCAAAAAATGTATTAAAACTGGTTCTGCAGAAGAACAGAAGGACTGTAATGAGCAAGTTCAGTGTCAGTGTCAGGACAAGAATCCAAGAAGATTACTTAGGCTGAGTGGAAAAATATTTGACTGTTAATCAACAAAACAGTGGAAAACAATGGCTGTTTTTCATAGGGGTTTTTCACAGAGGTTTCACACCTTTTTGAATGAGCGACAGTCAGTATCTAAATAATTTCTTCTGTTTTAATCCCATAATAATAACTGAGTGCAATAAAAATATTTTAAAGAATTAAATTATTTGAAGAATATTTAGGTTTGAGATTTTTAATTTTTTTTTTTTTTTTTTTTTTGTTCCAGGGTGAACGTGGCTTTTCTGGTGGTAAAGGTGAAGAAGGAGAAAAGGTAAATTATTTTGTCCATGTCACAATTTTTTCAACTTAACAATTTGATATAAGGCCAACAAGTAGAGCTTTTTTCTGAATGTGTTCCTTGACTTTTTCATGACTCTTTCATGAATTATTCTTATTATTTTGCTAGACAAATGCTTAAGAACAAAGACTTTTTGTGCATGCTAATCAGTGAGATCAGTGCTTCTTTTAGAAATACTTGATTTTTTTAAGAAAAGATTGAATAATGCAGCCTAACAGAACCATAGCCACTAGACTCCAGTAATGTTTACTGCTCTCATGTTTCTATGGTAGCTAGTAATGTTTGTTTATACAGTATGAAACGTATCATAAGATGATGCGTAGACATTTATAGTACTTAATTACTTCTTTTGTACATTAAAAAAGTACTTTTGTACAATTTCCTGTGTTGATTGTATGTAGTAAATATTTTACACATTTTTTCCTAAGAACAGAAATTTACTGCAATATCGAAATTTTACATTTACTACAGCATAACTGACTGCTAATTTGGAAAGGTTAATTTCCATTTGTATGCTTCAAAGACAAGTATGTGTTGAGGGACAAGTGGAAGGAAAACACCTGATCTTTGATTACCTAGTAGGAATTAAAGTAATGATGGTGATAGTTTATGCTGAAACTTCAGCTCCTAACCATGTTGCTGCCTGGTTACTGCTTTTTCACTAGTTTTGGTTGATTTGGATTAGGCAACCTGAATTAAGACTCAGTTTATAGAAAGTTTCTGTGTGCTTCAGCTGACTGTCTGAAAAAGTGCAGACAAGCATTTCTGCTTTTGTGTGCTTATAAAGATGAAGAACAACACATGCTGCTATTCTGGTGATATTTCAAATGAAGAAAATGGAGAATAGGCGGCTGAATTTAAAATGCGCACTATATCTGTGAGTAGGGCTGTTTTGGATATGGATATATTCACTCACCCACTCTTCAAAAGTGTCAGCCAGCTTTACAGTGTTCGTATTTTTAAAGAAAGCATGCTATGGATTAACAGAATTTAAGCAGTTTCAAGATTTATGAGGGTTTTTTTAGAAGAAAGTGTTGTAGTAACCAGGAAGGAAGAACTGTCAGAAAAAAAACAAAATCCATAGCAACAAGCATTTATAATGTGAAGATTCAGCCTCTGAAAAAACCCACTTGTTAAGCTTGAGTGTTTCTAACTCCACCAACGGATCTTATTTCCTTGGTGGTATCATTATTCAGCAGTTCTGAAGGGCCTGCAGGTTTTTTTCTTCTTTTTTTTTTTTTTTTTTGGTCATAATTGCTATGCAGCTGTGCTGTGCTTTCCCCGAGTTTTATGAGTAAATTGTGTTTTGACACAGACATGCAGTTCCAGCTGTTGCTGCCACTCTCTTTGCTTGCTTTCCTTTATTTTAAGAGAGATAAAATGACCCAACCACTGGTAGTCACATTTTTTGTTATGTGGAAGCTGAGTCAGCACATTTGGACCAATTTAAAAGTATTTCCAGTGTAACTATTAATAATGTATTCAGCTATCCTTAAAATAAAAGGAAAATAAACAAGTGGAAGGATCTTTATTTGCCAGTGATTACTCAAGAATAATTTAGGGTAGTCTCATGAGAAGCTACACATCATGACTTGTGAGGAAGGAGTGTGGTTTAGGCTATAGGAAGTAAGTCTCAGCCTGGGCTTTAGCAGTTACTTAATTTGGTCTTAATTCAAATAATTACTAAAGAACAACAATTGTGAGTTCCCAGTTACTGAACTCCAGCATTAAAAATGTATCAACACCTTTGCATTTTAACATAGCATCACAAAATAAAATAGTTGTAATAATTTTTGCATAAAAACATTATTAAAAATCTTGGAACCTAAATTTGATTTTTTTCCTAATACAAAAAAACTTCTTCGTATTGCATATTAAGGAACAAGATAGTATTTGCGTGCCATGTCTCGCATATCACCTAGCATGAGACACAGTTGCCTAAACATGGGATATTTGCATTCCAAACTCTGCAGAAGTACATTAAAATGAACAATCCTATATTTTTGTTTTGGTGACCATATAATTCCATGGGATTGAATGCTTGAAACCAGTTCAGTCTTATACTGCTTGGTTTATCAAACCAAACAAGTTGACCATGGCTCTTATTGTACCACATGCTACCTTGGCAGAGCAAACTCCGGGGCCACCAGAGAGATGTAGGCAACTGAGATGAAAGTGAATGACTGTATGTAAATTAGAGGAAACATCTATAATTTAAACAATTAAGGGAGATTCTTTAGGCATTTTAAAGGTTTCTTTGTCATGCTTGGTTTTCCTTGAGGAATCCAGAAGTCTTGTTTTGCCTTCCTCCTTTTTTCTTGGTCTTGGTTGAACTTGGTTTGCTCTTACAGAAGCCAGTAGTGGTAACGGAAGCTACAGACTGTGTGTGGAGGTGTTATGCTGCAAGTTTTCCCTCCATGGGAAATATACTCTTCCTGTAAATATTATTTAAATTCTCCTTTGTATTCTGTTTTCTTTTTGTTACTTAGGTAATGACATTGTCTTATGTGTTAGTCTAATAGCTCTAACAAAAACATTGGTCTACTCTTTAATAGCATGATTGAAAAAATATATGCTGAGAGCAGTTTTCATTAGTTTGCTGCCAGGAAGTCAGACTTTATCATATGGATCTATCCTCAACCTAATTGTAGTTAATTGTAATCTGTTCAGAATTGTAATTTTATGGTATAGGATAGAAAGGATGAGTATAAGACTTTGTAATTATAGGCAGGAGGGAAGGACTGATGATAACTAGAAGAAAGCTTTAAAATTCAGAATGTTCTTGGCAAATCAGAAATGTAGCCTGAAAAAAAAAAAAAAAAAAGAATCCAATGCAGAAGTAACAAGTGCAAGGAGGTACCTGTGGGGGAGAAAAAATGAGCTGCAAAAAAACCCCAAATCAAATAGTATCTACTCAGAAATTAAAACGTGAGGATTGTTTGGAGGAGAAGCTGAGCACACATAAATGCAGTCAGGCAGTTGTAAATGAAAGACTTGAGGATGTTTTAAAGTGAAATATTGTCTGCAACACTGATCAAATAGTCCTATTTGGTACTGGTAAGGCTTCGACTTAAAGCATTTTGAGAGCACTGAGAATGGCTGGTGCTCAGGGGCATACAGCATTTGAGGAAGGATGGTATGAACAAAGATTACTTAGAGTCAGCTGAAAATAAATATGTAAACAGTCGTCAAATACATAACACTGCTGTAAAGAGGAAGAAAGTGGTATATTTGCTGTGTCTGTTGTAATGAGTACAAAGCAATGAGCTGAAAGTGAAGTAAGGAAAATGCTGTGTAGCCATTGGGAAAAGGTTTTTAATTTTAACACTGTTGATTGTTGTACAGGTAATTTTCTTTTCCGGGGTCTGCAATTTTTATCCAAGTTACAGAAAAGGGGAAAAACTAAAGAAAGGCTTGCTTCATGCAAATGATCAGATTTGTCTTAGATGATTTTACCATTTTCAGTTAACAGCATCAAAATTATGCAAGGTATCACACTGATGTCTAATTGGATAAGCACAGAGAACAGCAAGACAGTTTCTTTTTCAACATATATCCTTTTTTTCTTTTTCATGCCTAGTTAATACTTTTCTGATGCAGGACAGTGAAGCTCTGGAATAGGTTGCCCAGTGTGGTTGTGCATCCTCTTTTCCTTGTGGTTTTCAAGACCAGCCCTAAACAACCTGGCCCTGACCCCATAGCTGAACACTGCTTGGAGCATGAGGTTGGACTAGAGACCCCATTTGAGGTCATGTCCAGTCTTAGTTATCCTTTAATTTTAGGAACAGTGAACATGCACGTGATATTTTTCTGATTTCTGTGGGTTTATGTGGATTTATAATCTGGAGAATAATACAAAACTATAGTAGTCTTTCTCTGTTTGGTTGAGGTTTTGTTTAAATGTTGTTAGGGGTTGGATTTGAATTTACAGTATGGACCAATATTGTTCACCAGCATATGTTATAGACAAATTTCTTTAAGATGTATATATACATTCACACACTCTAGTTTTGGAACATCATATCTAGGGATGACCAGTGCCCTTACTTAAATATCCAATCATCTGTCAGCTGATGCAGTCTTTCTCATAAAAACTCTTGTAGAAGGCTTGTTTGGGTTACATTGTAGATGGTTGCTTGGATGATGGGTGTGTATGCATTCACTCATTTTACCTTGGGATTACTGAAACCCTATTACATAATAAATTGTTCAACATAAATGAAATCTAAGGGTGTCTTCAAAATTTAAGTTCCAAAAAAGGAGAATCTAAAAATTTTATTACTATTAAAATTGCCATGCATCTGTTGGGTTGTCTGATCACAGCTCCATTCATGTGAACTGTGGCAGTTCCCCTAGCTGAATCCCTGTTTCTGTTTTAGCTCAGAGGCAAGTAAGGTATGATGTTATGTAGACTAAATCTCATTACTAGCTGATGTCTTTGAAGACTCGAAAGTTGCAAGTGGTAGAGTACAAGGATGGCTGTTCTCTGGAGAGAGACTCTTCAACTGCAGTTTTCCTTGACTAGGTGCTTTCCTTTATAAAGCATATTTCCTTCCCATCTCACACTTGAAACAGAGGATTTTGAAACAGGATGTCATTGAAGCTGAGCTATGTAGCAGTACATGTACTGTGATATGTGCTTGTTAACAATCTTTGCTGAAGTTATTATTTCACTGTAATTCTTTGATTTATATTTCTCAGTAAAATGATATAAATAAAAAAGATGGATGTATTAGACTAAGGGAAACTTTGGGAGCAAAGCCGTAGTGATAGTCATTCATTATTTCCAGTTTCATCCTTTTATCTTTACTTTTTGTATATTTTGATCGTGCTTTTGCCTGTGTATACATGTGAGAAGAGAGGAGGAGTCTGGGGCTTGTCCAGCATAAATGTAGAAAAAATTGTCATTTGCTTCATTTTCTTCTAAACGCAGGATGTTCTTTGTATATATTTACTATTTTGTGAAGTACAAT